TCCTTTCCCATCAGCATTTGAATATACTCTAATACAGACCATCTTTTAAGAAACTTACCCCAACCCCACTTACCCTTCCAGGAAGGATCCATTATCACCTTCCCTTTCACAACCAAGCTTTTCAAAAGTGCTGTGCAAATTTTGCATGTACTTAAGTAATGGACACTAAGTCATATCCTTTAAATGAACCAACCATTCTGGGAAGGGAACAGCGTGAGTGAAAAGTATCATCCTCTACATCTCCTGCTGCCATGGATACAGCATCTCAGGGACAAAGGTGACTTATGTGGATGGAACATTTGTGGTTTATTAAAGATATGAAAGCCCCTTTCTTTTTCCTTCTTGAGACAGTAATGGAAAACTGAGGTTTCCACAACTTTCCACTATGACACTTATCATTGAAAGTAACTCAATAATCTACACTTTCTGTCCTGTAGTTCAATTTCTGTTCTCCTGCCCATAGGGGCAACTTCAGAATTCCTGTCATTTTGGGATGACAATTTAGTTGTGACTGAAGATATAAATTCTATGTGCCTAACACCTTACATTTCACTATGGCGATCTCAGTGGTTTTTTTCTAGAAATATTTCTATCACAAAATATTGGGGGTTGTCCGGGAGGGGTTTACTCCCCACTTACATGTCATCCTGACCTACTCCTTCCCCTTGTCCCAACCCAGGTTCACAAACTCACTTTTTAAGAACTAATTCAATACTCACCTAACTGAAGTATTCTTCCAGATCTTCCAGAATTAGTTGCTAGTTCTCCAAGGCTCATTACAGTTGATGCTGTTCCACCAGTTATTATATCATATTGGTGATTACCCTTGGAAAGCCAATAGTTACATAGCCCTTTTTTTCATCTTATGGAAGAAGACCAAGGCTAAACAGTGACATGCTCAAGATCATACAGCAAGTTTTAGAACTGGAATTAAGTTAGATGACTTTAGTCTCACCAGCCAGTGTTTCTTCTCCTACATCAAACAGCCACCTTCATTTGACCCACCTCAATAGTAGTAAAAGTGTTCACATTTAGAATGTATTCCTCACACTCATAAATTAAATTTAATAGCTTATATAAAATTAAAAAAAGTAGTCAAGAAAATGACCTAGGCACCATAAATCTGGTCACATCTCAACTGCCAAAGGCGGAGGAGGCAGGAGAGACGAGATTGGGGAGAGAACATAGATATTATTAAGGTTCAATTTTTAAAGGGCAGTGCTTGACTTCAAAAAATCTTGAGGCTCCTTTCTCAGTGCCTTGAGATCTGCCATCATTTAAACTATTTGTGTCTAAGAATCTTCAATCTTATTAAAATATTTGGCTATATTCAAGTCACATGACATTAGCTCATGATAAATATTTCTGCTCCCCAGCCCTGATTTATGAGAACCAGCTAGTAAATAGTCTCTGATTCAAACAGTGATCAACCATTATTCACAAAGCAAAACGAGCCTGCGCTGTCACATCATAAATTTAATGTAACCTCATCTTTCTTTATTTTTTTACCCAGAGTTTTATTCGAATTTCCATCTTTGCTGCTCTCACCACAGACTCCAAAGGATGTGCACAAGAGATATTTCCTGCCAAACTGTATCTTTGGAAATCAGTGACAATGACTCAGGAAAAAGCAGCAACTGACTTGTTAATATCAGTACACATTGGAAATGGTCTTCAGGGAATGGCATGAGGTTTGCCATTAATCCCATGCCTTGAATCAATTTAACCTAGCCATTAAAAGGCAAAACTCAGTAGTCCTGGAAAAGAAGGAATTTGAGTGCAGAGGATGTGATATGGGCCGTGTGTATTTGGCAGATCAATGGTGATTTGTAAGGCTTTCTAACTGTATGACAGTAAATCCAGGAAGTGAATCATTTCTCTGGGAGAAGGCTGTTTAGAGAGCCATATAGTAAATTCCTCCCACTGCCATGGATTTCCAGTCACTAAAGTCATCAGATCGCCCTGAAGACCCTTCCAACTAATGTGCTGCTATTGGAAAGGGTCTCCAGTGACTCACAACAAACCGCATCTGATCAGCCCAGTCAGTTCCCTTCCCACCATCCCTGCTCACCTTCTGTGTAGTCACTGTCACTCCAGCTTCCATGATGCTGTCTCTGTCTGCCTGAAAACTTGTAACCCCTCCTCCTGTTCTTCCTAGAGCAGGTCCTAATCATCTTTCAAAACTCATCTCCATTTCTATCCTTCATGGAAAAATGTCCCTACATATATCCCACCTGGTGTCCTTTATGGTAACTCTTCTCAAACTTTAATATGTAAATAAACCATGTGAGAGCTTGTTGATACACACGTTCCCCTTCAGCAGGGCTATGGTGGGGGGTCAGCCATTCCAGCAAACTCCCAGGCGATACTGATGCTGGTAATCTATGGACCATACTTTAGAGATGCAGACTTAGCTAGGGAGGCCTCTGCTGAGCTTCCACAGCACCATGTGCATTGAACCTTCCTAGAAATTTTTGCAATTATTCAATTACACTTTTATCACTACCAGTCAACAGGATCCCTTGAGACCTAAGTATCTTTCAATTGTAAGTAGCAAGAATACAACTGAAGGGGAAAAGAAAGGGAAAAAGAAGAGGAATGTTTTGGCTCATCCAAAATCAAGCTTCAGACATAGCTAGATCCAGGCATTCAAAGCATGTTATGAGGACACCTTTCTTCTCTCTTTCGGCTGTGCTTCATTCTGTGCAGGCTTCTTTACCAAGAAATGACATAGTGAGAGCAGCAACCTTAAGAATAAGAAATATACTCATTTCCAGGCTAGTGAAGAAGATAAGTCAAACAATTACAGATCAAAGCTATAAGCCCAATTACAGAAACAGCTGGAACCCTAAGGTATCTACTGAGAAGGAACACACTCAAACTGGGGAATTCAGAAAAGGTGGTTGTGAGAGGGTTGGTAAGAAACTTTCAAAAGAGATGATATAACTGGTCCAACCACTATGGAGAGCTGTGTGGAGATTTCTGGACCTACTAAACGTAGAGCTTCCACAGGATCCAGCAATTCCACTCCTAGGTATTTACCCAAAGGACACAGAAACATCAATTCCAAAGAACACCTGCACCCCTATGTTTATAGCAGCACTGTTTACAATAGCTAAGCTTTGGAAACAGCCCAAATGCCCAAAAACAGATGACTGGATCAAGAAGATGTGGTACATATACACCATGGAATATTACTCAGCATTCAAAAAAGATAAACACATGCAATTTGCAGCAACATGGATGGCGCTGGAAGGGGTCATGCTCAGCAAAATAAGCCAGAAAGAAAAAGAAAAATACCGGATGGTCTCACTCATAGCAGGAATCTAGAAAACTTAAATAAGGGACCAGGAAAATGAATAACTATAAGAAAGTGACAATCAAAATCAACAAAAACTATGAACCAGAGACACTTTTTGGGGGTTAGGGGGCGGGAGGGGAGGGATTGGGGTCAGAATGGGGGGGTTGCAATTGTATGGGGAATATAAAAATAAAATTCATTAATTAAAAAAAAAAAGAGATGATATCAGACTTGGAGCTTGAAGGATGACTAGCAGTTTCCTAGAAAGGAGCATTCAAGCAGAACTCCTTAGCAATATTATTATTATATATAATAATGTATATAAAAATTGGCAAAGACAATAGGTATCTATGTAACTAAACTCTGCAATGCCAAATATCAGGATGAGTGTCAATATCTAGATGATCTGAGTTAAGATCGTGAAATCCTAATGCCTATAATTTAAATGTCATCTAATTTTATAGATGAGAAAATTAATGGAGACCTCAAAGTGTGAGATAATTAAATATGTATTGACTCTTCTGAACACAATAATTCCTGTTATATTCCCACCTACCTAGGTGCATGGAATAATGCTAATACAACCACAGTCTCATAGATCACCAAAATAACTGTTCCAAGAGAGCAAAGTTTCCTCCTAATCAAGCTTTAGAAAAGCAAAGGTTTCTAAGAAAAATATTCACACTCATTTTGAAAAGCTAAAAAACAGCAATAGAAAAAAAAGTGATAAAACTCATCCTGTGAATATCCCACAGTCTGTGGGCAGTCACAGTGCTTAGGAAACTAAAATGGTTGCAAAGACAAATAAGAGGTGGTCTCTGCCCTGCAACAGCAATCGTTATTGAGAGAAATGGCTTTCCAAGAGATTAAAATTTCCCAAAATTAGGGCTTTAAAACAGAGAATGATAGGAGTGAAAGTGGCATTACACCATAAGTCCATACAATTTAATTCAAACACACAGAACAATTCAAACACACATGTATACGCGTGTACATATGTATGAGGCAGCCAAACTCAGTGGTTATGCTTATTCAGCCCAAGTCCTGGCTTTCTGGATGCAAAGCCCTGTCCCATCAAGTGCCAATTGTATAACAGGTGACAAATGTCTTCTGCCTTAATTCTTGCATCTAAAAAATGGGGATAAATATGTACATGCATTTTGTAATTGCTGTGAAGTTTAAATGAGATCATGCAAATAATGTGTTTGGAGAAGACCCTAGGACATAGTAAGTGCTTCTAAGTGTTTGCTTTCATAATGGTAGATGGTAGATGGTAGATGGTTCTTCCACCACAACATACTCCTAAGAACATACTCCTTTGAGGAAGCAGAAGGAGGGCTAATCAAATCTGTGCTTCCCCGAGCCTCTCTCGGCTCTGGCTATCTTAGGATAGCTTGAGGATGGCAGACCTCCCAGAGTGTGATCTTGTGGTATCCAAGGATACTTCATGCCTTTAAATGCAAACCCACAGGGATCCTTGTCCTTTGATTACACGCAATTTCCCCAAGGAAGGCTCACTTGAGAAACTTACTGCCCTCAGCACTAGCTCTAAAGCCAGGAGCAGCATGAGGACGACAAGGAAGAACATGGCCCAGCAGTCAGATGTTTATTTATTATTCTTGTTCCAGCGCAGCCGTGGCCACTCTCTGTGATCAGGAGCAAATCAGTTCTGAGCCTCATTTTCTTGTCCTATAAAATGAGGACAGTAGCAACTACAATTTCTCTCTCCCGAGGTGGCAGCCAGGATCAAATTCCTGTGAATGTGCTTTGAAAATAAAAGAAGGAAATTAGGGAAGGAGAAAGCAAGAGGAAAGAAGAGAAGAAAAGGAGGTGGGTGGGAGGAGGAGAGGAAAGAAAGACAATTGTCCAGGACAGGCTTATAAATGTTGATGGTGCGGTGCAGCCAGCAATCCTTGCCTGGAGATAAATTCCAAGCTCAATTATTGTGATGCAAAAAAGAGCAAAGAGGCTGAAAGAGTACAAGTGGGTGAAGCTGCAAATCCTCCTCTCAGGTGATTCCTTCAGTTAGAGGGACATTCACTGGTGTGACACTCAGCCCTCTGCCCACCTGCCTCCCCCACTCAGGGAGAATGGTGAGTTTGGACAGAGGACAGGGCATACGCAGCCCAGCCTTTTCTACTTTTTTCCTTGGGGAAGCCTGACTGGCTGCTGCCAGGGTCTGTGGGAGAGGCCCCTCCAGCCCAGGGCCTCAGGCTGTGAAAGTCAGCCTCAGCCTAGGGACACCCACAGGGCCTCGCAGACTGTCCTCTTACTCTGGCCTTCTCTCTTCCCTCCTGCTGGGTAAATTGCCCCCGGCAACATTCATCCTGCTGTGCTCTCCTGGCACCTGGGACATCTTCCTGCAGAGCTGCTCCTTGGAAGCAGCGCTTGGGGCGGGAGCCAGCCTCTGCCTGCTTTCTCTTGTTGGAGTATTGATGATGAAAATTAGTCAATGCCAGTGTTGATATTATTATTATCCTTGTCTTTGATAATTCAATAGCAATGAGAACTTCCATTAGAGCATAGACCCACTATAGCGCATATAGTAGCAAAAACAATGCTTTGCTTTAGAATATTACTTCACATTTATAAATCTTCCCCATTGTTAACTTCTCAAGATTCAAAATAGCCCTTTTAGGGGGTCAGAAAATAGTTATGCCCTTCACTTTATTTTTTCTTAAGATTTTCATTTATTTATTTGTTTGTTTGTTTGTTTGTTTGTTTATTTATTTATACAAGAGCCGGGGTACAGGCCAGAGGCCCAGGAGGGTGAAAGGATTCACCAGAGACAGAGCAGGGAGCAGAACAAGCAGACAGACTGAAATACACTGCTGAGGGGAGCAGCGGGCAAGTCAGGAGAGGTCTGCTGCGCCATGTGGTATGCTTTTCACTTTAGATGAGGAAATTGCGGTTCAGAGAAGTGAAATGATCTTTGAGAACTTCCCAGGTGAAGGAAAATAAACTGAACTAGAAGCCAGACCTTGAGACTCCGTTTTCAATGTTCATTCTCAAGTGACAAATTCATCCCATTATCTCCTCCCAGACTGAAGAGACCCTGCCCCACTCTACAGAATACAGAAATACCACCCAGCACTCAGACTATACAGTCTTAATCTGTCTCATTTTTGTAAGGATTATGGTGTGCATGCGTGTATGTGCATGTGTGTATATAGGAGCCTTATAAACTGAAATGCCCTTGACAAATATATGACAGTATTGTCCAGTTGTTCTTACTTCAGATGTCTCACACTTCTAAGACACAGCACAAGTCTACAACACTGGTGGAGTTTGGGTTAACAGACCCATTGTTTGTCGGCAGATTTCACATTTGTCAAGTATGAGAGAAACCAGATTTCATGGAGCAATTAAGCAATTGTGAGCCAGGGCAAAGAAGATGTTTTGCTAGAAGCAATAGGAGCCAGACACATCCAGCCCTGTGTAAATTATACATGTGTCTGCTCCAGAGATCATATCTCTACTCTTTGTCTGTTCAGCTTGACCCTAACCACTCCTCCCTCAGCCAACAGGCCTCACTTGTATCTTCTGCAGTTTTGGCCAATACGGCAATCCCTCGTGCCTTGTAAGGAGTCTGGTCAACTTGACCTGGCCCAGCAATTTATTGAGTTTTATTTAAAGGTAGATCACATATTTTCCTTAATAAGAAAGTCTAAAGAAAGCCTTCCACAAGAAGATTACACTCTGTTTTGTCTGGAAAACTATGATGGCAGGTACCAACCTTTAGGTTAGAACTGCAAATGGGGTGGGATGGTGGAAAGGACATGTTTTTTTTGAATCAGGGAAACCAAGTCTCTACCCTCAGTTCTACACTACAAACCTTGAGGTCAAAATATGTTGTATATGAGCTAATATTTTTTAAGATTTATTTATTTATTTATACAAGCACTGGGTACAGTCAGAGGCGTGGGAGGGTGAGAGAATTCACCAGAGCCAGAGCAGAGAGCAGAGCAGGCAGACTGACGAAGTACACTGCTGAGGGAAGCAGCAGGCGTGGCAGGAGAGGTCTGCGCACCATGTCGGAACCTTGCCCGGTGGCCGGGATCGAACTGGTGCTGCAGAGGCTGTGGGCAGCTTCGCAGCCCAGAGCTCAACAGCTGTGCCACCGGGGAGGCCCTACATGAGCTAATTTTTATGGAATGTTTCCAATATTCTAAGACCTATATTTACTCTTCTATCAAATTTTACAAGGTCTCCATTTAAATATGCATTCATTCATGACTTACTAAATAGCTACTGTGTGGTCACTACAATGTGGGACAGAAACACAGCACTGAGCCAGGAATGTACAATTCATTTGAGAAGACACTCACTGAACATGAAGTTACTGGCACAATGATTATCAGGAGGGGAAGTTCTGTGGGACCCCATCACGGCAGTACTGAGGCAGTTCAATAGTCAGGAAAGACCCAAGGGATGAGGAGCAGTTAGCTGGGCAAAGGGAAAGTGGGTGGGGAAGGAAAGATCATTCCAGGTGAAGGCCAAAGACAGTGTAACCATTATGCCCTCGGAAAGAATGCGTGACCTCTTTGAGGAGGTGCCCAGAAGCCCAGGATGGCTGAAGCAGGTGAGGAGGGAAGGTGGCTGGAAGCAGGGCTGGAAAGGTACAGGTAAAGCAGTGTTAAGCATATAGAGCATTTTGGATTTTATCTTCAGAGCCATAAAAAAAACTACAAAAAGATTGTAAATGCAGGGAGTGTGGATGGTTTATAAGGTTTGATTTGGGTTTCCCTTTCACTGCACATAGAGAGTGGTTTGGAAGCAGATGTAAGGAGACCAAAGTGAGGAGATGAACCAAGTGATGGAGACAGAGAGAGGTTGATGGATTTGAAAAGTGTTTTGTGCAGAAACAGCTGAACTTGATCTTAGGAGAAATGAGGAGGCTCTAGAGAAGGGTCCAAAATGTTGCCCAAGGATTAGACTTGATCATTTGGGTGACTGATGGCTCCATCCATTGAAGGATACGCTAGAGAAGTAACAGTGTTTTCAGGAAGGAGGAAGGCAGATTGTAGACATGAAGAAAGAAAACTGTAGTTCAATTATGTGTAATTACTCAGGAGCTTACAGTCAGTGAGTAGCAGGATTGAGGTTTAACCGGGTAGAATGTTAACGCCCAGGACTTTACCAGGATGCCCCAGTTCTACCAGCCTCCATGAACTCCCGTGTCCTCATCTGTAACACAAACATAATAGCACCAGCCTTGAGGCGGTTACTAATGTTATTTATTTGCATTATATTGTTTCTCGAGGAGGGGTTTTTGGACTCTCTGAAGCTGCTTTAATAAATTCCCAGTGGAATCACTTCCAAGCATCAGCGCAGAGAAAGATGTTCAAGAATAACAGAAAAATTACAGTTTGTGTGGAGATCTGAGGGCAGCATTTATTACATGCTTTCTTCTTTCACTGGTCACTCTGTGCAGTTTTAATATATTCTCTGTACGGTACCCATCACTTTCCCCTGCTGTGAGACGTGGAGAGGAAGCACTGTTCCCTGTGCTTCTGTGACCCGCCATGACTAGAGAAAAAGTCAGGCCCCACCAGCCCACCAGGGCCCTGGCACAATGACAGTGTTGTTTGTGGATATTTATGCACAAAAATGTTTGCATGAAACTGAACTTGGATATTGCTGTCCAAGTGTTCATGCCATTGGGCAAAAAAATTTGGAACAAGAAAGTTTAATTGACTAAGTCGTTCATTATTGTTTGAGAACATGTAGCATGACACAACCTAGAGTCAGCTCAGCAAAATGTTAAATAATATAAGCAGGGAATTCTCTCTAATTCCTCCCCACTATTGTCTAAGCCAGGCAGGTGCTCCCACCTGTGTCCTGTCCTCCTGGGAAGAGCTCCAGGAGGAAGTAGTTCCTCAGAATCAATTCCGGAGATGCCCCTGCAGTTGCTGATCACGCTGGATGGCCACTCTGAATTCTCATCACACTTCTCCCATCTTTGTGATCTCTAGTCCACAAAGGGCTGCTTGACTGCCCGTCACTTGGCCTCATTTCCTTTCTTACCTTCTGTCCCCTAGCTATAGTGTCTTAGCGCACCTGAACTCCACACCCAGCCCAGCTCTCTGTTCCTTCAGGTTCCAGAAGCTTCCCCTGCTTGTGTCTGCTCCACACTGACATCTACAGTCTTGTCTCATCCTGGCCCAGCATCCAGCCCTATTCCAACAAGGCATTATTGTTCATGGACCCAATATGGCCTTAAAGCATCTCACAGGTTACATCCCACCCCGTTCCCCAGGCTTCAAATGACAACTTCCACCTCTGGGTTATCTCCTCCAAGATCGTCCCTGACTGCACAGGTACCAGGCTCCATGTGCTCTCTTGAGCTCCCACCATTCCCTGGATCACTTACTCTGTGGGGCTGTCTACTGTACAGGTCTGTCAATTCTGATAGGCCATGCAAAGGCCCAAGGAGTCCTCTCCCCTCTGTATCCCCAAGAATGATTATAGTAACAGGCCTGTAGAGACACCTGATAGGACTTTTGTTGACTAAACCCCTCCATTCTGTTGAGCTCCAGAAGCCATTCGAACAGCAGAGTCTGTGTTATATCATATCATATAGCGTATCGTCTCATATCATATCATACCATATTGTAGTATCTTTTACTGAAGCAAGAGAAGTAAGCAAATATAATCGGTGAATGTTATGAATTGAGTTGCTTGTCCTTCACGGATTGTGCAGACTTTTAAATACTCATCTGTTTCATTTGCCCCAGAGGAGTCAGTCACGGGATGCTGAGTTGCCGCAGCCCCTTGTAGCAGAAGAGCTGAGTTTTCAGAACCCAATTTTTAGCTCTTCACACCCTCCCAAGGACAACCACTTTCAGAGTTAGAACAGGCAGAACACAAGTGATTCATATCTTCAAACCACACATCATACTTCAACTAATCAATGCTACAATGCTAATGGGTTAGGAATATTTATATATTAGGAGAAATAATAGTATAGATCAAAGGTCAAAAACTGGTGACTCATGGGAACCACCAAGCCAGTAGGAATCCCTACTTTCCAGGGATTATAGATCTCACTCTGGGATGGGAGGGAAGGAGCAGAGAGAGAGAAGGAAAAGCACACGCTTCTTGGAACGTGGTTGGTGGGGGCTTGGGGATGGATGTCCTGCAAACCATTAGATAAGCATAAGGATTCTTTCTACTCCAATGTCATTTTTAGCAGAGAGCTGCCCCCTGCACCTGGGACAGACTCTGGCTGATGTGTAGCTGTTCCATGTACCACAACCTTCCAAGGAATCTCAGAGCAGTCGAGACTAGACCCCCCAGGATAGCTCTGATCCTTGACCATTTCTCTGAATTTCTATTTCTACAATTCCCTCAAGCACCAGCCTGCAAAAAGACCTTGACTTTTTTTCTTTTTGCTATAGATATTTGATTAGTTTCATTTTTATTTAACATGAGACTTAAAATTTTACATGCAGAATATAGGCTTGTTGATCATAGACATAATGTCATACAGTTGATTCTAGAGCTTTTCTTTCTTGCATGACTGAAAGGCTAGACCTGTTGAACCATGTTAAAGAATGTCTGGGAGTCTCATGGAGACCACATTGGGTTGTAGGTGACAAGATCTTTCTCCATTATGTGTGTCCTGGGACAGTTTTGCTAATTCCCTGGAAGCTCAGATTCTTCGAGGACGTTAGGAGGATGACCATCATCTCCCTGTCTGCCTCATGAGGCCATGATGAAAGTCATATGAGACCACATTTAGCTTCACAAATATTATTACTACTCAGTTAAACACTCTGAGGTGCTACAATGCTAATGAATTAGAAATATTTATATATTAGGAGAAATATTATTATAGCTCAAAGGTCAAAATCTGTTGACTCATGAGATCCACCCAGACACTAGGTGTTTTATTTGGCCTACATGGTGTTTTATGTATTGCAACAGTCCTTAAAAATAAGGAAATTTGATATTTAGAAAGAAAAATACAGAATTCCAGTTTTCTCTTAAAAACTGGAGATCTAGCCAGCCTGGCCTACTTTCTCAAGGGGAACATCTGGCTGAAGCAGAATAGCACCTGCCCTTTTGGAAAAACCATGAGCTCTGCAATTCCCATCAGTCCCCACCTGTCACACAGGTACTTCTACCTTGCACACACCTATTTTACTTGCTTCAGTTATTGGTCTGAATCCAGTTGCCATTTTTTCTTGTAAACCCTGGTACAGCTGAGATAATTAGAGCAAGAAAATCCTAGATTCAAATTCTGGCTTTTGCATTAAATACCTACATAACCATAGACAAATAACTAACTCCTCTGACATTCTTAGTCTTCTTATTTTCACATGGCCATCGAATTATCTATTATGTATTGTGAGATTTAAGTACAGTATTTATACAAGGTGAGATACAGTCATAAAAAATCATATTATCTGAAATAGAATTCATGCATTGCAGCAAAAGAAAGGTATCGCTAATGCTAGAAATTTAGATTTTGGGGGAAAGACACTTGCAAAATAATTTCAATATAGATGACCTGAACTTTAGTGGAGACCTCATAACTGCTACTTGAACTTCAGTGATTTTTCAAAAAAAGATTTATTTTATATATTTATGCATACAGGAGCAGGGGTATAGGCCAGAGGTTCAGGTGAATCCTCTGGTGAGAGGATTCACCAGAGACAGAGTGGGGAGCAGAACAGGCGGATCAACTGAAATACACTGCTGAGGGGAGCAGCGGGCGAGAAGGGGAGGTCTGCTATGCCATGTGGGTCAGCTCCCTGGCCAAGGATGGAACTCACACTGCAGTAGCTGCCGATAGCTTCATAGAGCTGAGACTTAACCCCTTGCATCACCAGGGAGGCCCTGAACTTCAATAATTATACAAATAAATAATGGTGAGTGTGGGTGTGCACACATGTGCACACTTGCATGCGCACTTACTTCTCCATTGCAGCTGTCTGTGTCTTCTCCTATGTTGTGCTGTTCTTAATCTGGCCAAGTCTTTGTGCATCTCTTTTCAGGATCCACCTACACACCCACTTATGGAGAAGTCTTTCTTGATGTCTTCAGATTAGATGTACCGCCCCTCCTCCGCTGTGCCTCCCTGGCATCTGGAATTTTCCTCTGTCATTAATGAAAATTACATAGAACAGTAAGTTGTTTCACTGATGCATCATACTCAATAGATAAAACCCTCAGGGCAAGAACAGTGCGTGTGGTGATAGTGCGTGTTAAATTGACTAGGTCACAGCATCCACAGGTGGTCAAACATTATTGCAGGTATTTCTCTGAAGGTATGTTTTTCATGACATGACATTATATCAGTAGACTTTGAATAATGCAGATTACCCTCCATAATGTTGGTAGGCCTCATCTAATCAGTTGAGGGTCTTAAGAGAAAAATACTGACCTCTCCAAGCAAGGAAGAAGAATCCTGTCTTTGTTTTCTTTTCCAGATTATGTTTCTAGAGGTAGAGTGGGTTTGTATTGTTGTATCTGCTTTAGATGTTATAGATTTAATCTCAACAATTTTGTATTTTCACACCCTGCCCACCACCAGTGTCCTAAAAATCCTCTACCATGCTCCACTGGGCCTCCTCCAATCCCCACTCCCACCCTACCACCTTCCCCCTCTGTTTGTCTGTTTTTGATGTCAGGTATCAGGGTTTATTATTGATTTGGTTTAGACTGACTCTTTGATTTGTTCTCTATATTCCACATATCAGGGAAGCCATCTGGTATTTGTTATTCTCCTTCTGACTTATTTTACTTAGCATAATCCCCTCCACTTCTATCCATGTTGTTGCAAATGGCAAGAATTCATTATTTTTATAGCTTTGTATTATTCCACTGTATATGTATGCCAGATATGCCTTTGAACTTGAAAAATCTTCCCTAGTCACCAGTGTGCTGGCCTATAGACAGACACTCATACACACACCCCCTGATGGTTCAGTTTCTCTGGGTAACCCTGACTGACTGACTGACTGACTGACTGACTGACACAATGTCCTATTAAATTTTGTTTCTATTACACCTGTGGCATATAATGGTCACTCAGGAATTGTGGAATGAATAGGCAAATAAATTGATAAAAAGTAAATGATGTTATGGAAAGAAGTTCTAAAGGTTAGGCAAGTTCACTCTATAATTCTCTTCTGACTTAAAACACTACAATTCTATTTCCATTCACTTAGTGAAATATCTTTCTTCTCTGAGATCACAGAAAATTAAGTCCACTTCATATTCTACCACTACATATTCTAGGAATTCTCTTAAACTGAGAATTCCTAGGAGGCAGAGAAATTTAAGTGTTAACCCCTCATAATCTAAGAACCTGACATTTGATAGACACACAGTGAAAAAGTCAGTTGAATTAGATTCAATTGCATTAAGTTTTTCCTGTAGTCTGCCTCTAAGACAGGCCTCAAACAGGCCCCCCAAACCTCCCAGGTATACTAATAAATAATCAGTTATTTTCTCATTTACCATATTTTCATCATTGTCAATGCATGATATTGATTTTTGCAAAATATTTTAAATAAAATTCCTTCTAAAGTTCCTCAATGCTAATCACCAGTAATAATTATTAAAATATATCAGGACCTATTGGGAAGTTATTTTTCTTTTAATTAATTGAATAGTGATTAAATTAGTGAAAACAATCAGCTCATCTAAATGGGAAAGCTCAAACTTTGAAAAATTGCATGGGCTAAATTAGTTTCCATTTGCTCAGTGCAATACTGTTTACAAAACACTATGCTACTGCATGACATTAAAACAACCTGAGCTGCATAAAGTAAGTCTGTGAGTCTCGTCCCATGAGTCAGAAAACTGAGGTGCAGTTAGTCATAACCAACACCCATACTGTGTTTACCATGTGGTGACTAGGGTCACATGTTCCAAATCTGTGAACTCATTATTCTTCTTAACAATCACAAGGGACACATATGAGTACTCTTCTCATTAAAGATGGGGAAACTGAATCCCAGCAAGTTTAGGCAGCTTGTCTGATGGCTCATTTTATGTGTCCCATGCCTGGACCACAGGTGCCCTGGTATTTGAGGAAGCATCATCACTCCCTGGGTCTGTGAGGGTGTTTGGAAGAGACTATCATAGGAATGGACACACTGAAGCAGGAGACCTTCTGCAGTGCAGTGGCTCTGGATAGCACAAAAAGGCAGAAAAGGGGGGAATTTGACCTTTCCTCCCTAGTGACTATAGTTGAGACAGATCAATCTTCTCCTCTCTTGACTGAGATCTACAGCAGCAGCCCCCCAGTTCTTAGGCCTCCAGATTCAGTTTGAATGACACCACCAGCTTTCCTGGGCCTCCAACTTGCAGACAGCATATACAACTTCTCTTAACAGAATATAGAGGTTGGTTGAATCCATGAATGAGGAATCTGAGGATAGGAAAAAAAATTGACATATAAGTAGACCAAACATTTCAACCCATTCAATCCAAGTTGTTCAAGGATCAACTGCATATATATCTCGTCTGGAGATACTGTATTCACAGCCACATATCCTCTTATCACATATCTGCATCTATCTGGGTCTATAGCTCCCCTCTGGAGAAGCCTGCCTGGTCCACTAATCAAGGCCAGACAGCTCAAAGTCAGGAAATTAGCCAATTTAGGTGTTTTGACAGAAACCAGATTTGCCGCATCCAAAATCTGGGTTCCCCCTGCACCAAGCAGTTTCTAGAACCCTCAATCACAAATGAAAGCCCCAAGCACAGTCTGTGGCTGTCGATGAGCTTGGTTCACATTTTCCCTCAGGCTAACTAGCTTACACACACCAGGGAGGAGAGCCTTCACTACTAAGCAGTCTTAAACCTATGAAACACAGGTCTTTATTCTTTCGCCAACAATGTCTGTGTAGAAATCATGTTGAATGCTGGGTCTGGGTAGTGCAGCAACTTTGAAAGGGGAGGAGAAGCAGTAGGAGGTCAGGCCAGGGTTCTCAGCAAGAGGAGCCAGCCTGGGTTTGCAGTCATCCAGGCATTCAGGACCTGGGGTACACTGGGGTCCCCACAGCTCAACTTCAAACGATTTGACAATTTTAATTGAAAGGCATATTAGTCTTTTTGTTAAAAAAATCCCAAAGGAAAAAAAAAAAACTTTAGGTTCAAGGAATATTCTATCTCCACGAGACCATTGAAAGTCTAAAATATTTCCCAGCAAGATGCATTTGTTCGGCTATTAATACGCTTTATTATTTTTCCACTATGTCAAGAACCTAGCTGTTCCTGTCGCTGATATTTCTCTTAAAGGGAAAAAAAGAAATCATTATCATTTGACATCAAAAAAATTCTATTTTCCCTCAAAAGAACATAAAATGGAAGCAAAAGGAAGTTTTGCTATATGAAAATCCAAACTGAGTCGATAGGCTTAGTCATACCTCTGTTTTCCCACCTATAAAACTGAATTAAACTAAAAAAGACCAAAATTCCCATTTAGTGGACAGACCCTGAATAATAGTGATATGCTTAGTTAAATCAGAAAGTAAAAGAAAATTCTGGGATAGTTTCACTCATTTGTGGGATAACAATAACCAAAAGAAAAATCTGGCAAAATACAATAAAAATAACTCTTGGATTCTGTGGAAAATGTAGTGGTTACCAGAGGGGGTGTGTGCAGAAGGTGGGGGGTCATGTCATAGAGTATTGGCACTGGGGCTTCTCTGGGCGTGAGGGAAGCATATTCACATGTGGAGGTGTGACACTGTACCCCCAAATTACATATATATAAACAAATGGCAAATAATACAATTTGATTAAAAAATATTACAGCAGAGTGAGTGACCTTTGTTTAATTGTAAAATTTCATTCTGACATTCAAATGGAAATCCAAAATCTTATATAATTAGGAACTAAAAAACAATCTTCAACACCTGGAGTGTGTTCTTTAATTGCTCACTGCTGAGATGCGAGTTTCATAAACGTAGTGAGGTCATTCTGGGTTTTCCAGAATCTAGAAACTTGGTCTATAATAAGACCTCAGATGGAATGAATGAATGAATGAATGCATGGCCTCCTGTCCTTATAATCTATTTTCCCTCAGATATCTAAGGTGCTTCCAGTCTTAGAGGGACACTGCTACCTAATTAGAAGTTTACCTCCAGGTCCAATTTGTGATAAACAAGATTGTCTTCAACTCCTCTTTGTAGACAAGAGGCTCAGGAGATGTTGGTGAAATCTGGTGAGATATACTACCTTTCCACATTCTTAGTGAATGAGGGAAGGCACTGGGAACCCTGGGAAGGAGCCCCGAGATGATTTGGATGGAGGGAAATCCAAAGAAGAGTAAGAGAAGCTTTGGCATCCACGCATCCCCTGACACTGCACCAAAGGCCTCAGTTGATTCCATTGTAGTGACTTTCATTAGCAAGAGTAGCTTTGATTTGCTTTCCAGATCTATTGCTACTGGGAGGAGTCAGTGCCCTGCAAATCCCTGCAGTCTCTCTCAGCCTTGGACCCATTGATGGACAACAACCCAGAGCTGACTACGGTGACCTGCTCGCCCAGAACCTACCACCTCCGCCCCAGAAACAGACCCTTGGAGTAAGGGGCCTCCAGATCTTGTCATCCAGGCACAGGGAGCTTATGAAACTCTCCTCCGAGCGCCTCTTTCGGAACCATCTGCCCTCCTGCTGGCCTCTGTGTCTCCGTTTGCCTTTTGCTGCACAGGCCTTGGCTGGATCTTCCCTGCTCGCATGTCAGGGCGTCCTGACTTAGCAGTCATCATGGTATCCCGAAAACTTTGCCTGAACCATCTGGGAGCTTCCTGAAGCAACAGCCTTCCAGTGCTCCGTGGACAGAGGAGAGATCTCACCCACAAACAAAGCTTCAGGACAATGGGACAGTGTGACCCCACTCATACGGAGGTCCCTGTCCCAGCTGGAGACACTCAGCTTCAGCAGGCACCTCTGGCCTGGCTCCTCTGGGAAACCAGCCTCTTGGGTCAATAACAGGGTTATTGCAGCTGCCAGAGAGAAGGGGAGTGAACCAAGAAACAAGACAGAAACAAAACAGACTGGGGAAACATCTTTAAAAGCAAAGGAAGACAGAAAGATACCTAGCAGGCTCCTCGCTCTACCAGCAGACCTAATTCCAGCTCTGGACCTCATCTTTGCGTGGAGTATGGTCCCAGCAGAGTCCTTCATCTGCCCTTCACTGCCCTTCCCCCACATCCTGTCCCCCTTCCACTGCTGAGCTGCATCTCTCTGCCAGCAAAGCCAGCATAAGAGAAAGGCAAGCCCCTTTACCAGGTAGCGTCATGCTTATGCCAGGCCCAAGTCTTGGAACATTTGCCTTAATAAGACCTGGTAGCAGGCAAAGGCACTTGCTCAATTAGGGAAAAGTGTTCATTCTAAGAAGGCTGCCCTGGCAGAGCCCCAAGTGCTCCGAAGCTCCCTCCCACCCCAGCCCTGATGCTCTGATTATCCTATTGTCAGATCAATAGCCCATCTGTTCTTTGGAGTAGTCTAAGCCATCCTGAGCTAAATTAAAACAGATAGGATCAATCCGCGGTTAATTTCTCCCAACCAAACAATTTATCTCTCTTTTGGATTCTCTTGGAGGATGAATTATATAATCCTGACACACTATTAGGGTTCTCTGACCAAAGAAAGCCTTGCTACAATGCCTGCATGCTCTCTTTATTAGCAGCTCGACAGTGTGACAAAGCCAGAGATTTATCAGAGAGTGTTATGCCGACCTGGCTTGAACTCTGCAAAGTCTCTGCCAGGGCACGGGGAGGGGAAACGGATCTGAATTCAACCGTGCATGTTAATAATCTCTGCGAAAGAACTGAACCCAAATTTGATAAACTGAGCATAAGCTTCAATTTCTGAAAAAGAAATTGTCTTCCTCAGTGAAACGTTTTTTTCTCTGCTTTAGAGAACAACAAGGATGCCTTGCACCCAAATGTCAGTGGAAACATAGGGCTTAAATCTGAGCTGGAACAAACTGGAGGCAGGAATCTGCTCTAATAAGAATAGGCATTATTAATGATAATATTATTGTTAGATACTTACCATATGTTAGTTCACCCGCATAATGCTAGAGGTTGTGAAGACAGAGGCTTGGAAAGAAGAAGGGACCCCCAAGATCACAGGATGAGGTAGTACAGTCAGCATGACCACCAGGAGGCCTGCAGAGAGAGGGCCCACCAGCCACCAGAATATTGGAATACTCCCGAACTCATTGTCAAAGGGCTACTTTGCCTGAGGTTTTTGTCATTCAGTCCCCCCAGCACACACTCCTAGCTCCCTAAACTAGGATGTCCAGCCCTCCCTCTGACATGGGGACTCAAGGGCTAAGACCTTATGTACCAGAGAGGATCCAGGATGATGCCCCATAAGAGGCAACATCCATTAGCGTTGTTAGTATTTTTATTACTCTGCTAATGCCAGTTTTATTCCCAGGGAGGCCTGGTTTCCAAACTCATACTCTTACCCAGAATGTTCTTGTTCCCGAGGGGAAAGATGAGCAGTGGGAGAAAGTCAAGAGGAAGCCAGGTAGGGGAGAGGGGTGGCTCTGGGAAAGCACCCAGGAGGTCAACCCTCTCAGCAGTGGTTCAGTTGCCTGGGAGGGGCTTCTGAAGAAGGGTGAGAATCCTAATAGTTAATACTTATTGATCAGTGCTGCATGTGTGGCACTGTTTGAATACTCATAATTATTATTTCATTCAATCTTCTTGGAAATATACCATTATAGTGTCTTCTGTGGACAGGCAGGTGAAGAAAGAAATGCAGATGGAGGAAGTTGCTACCAGCCAGGCCCACGCAGGTGGAGTGACTTGCCCCCACCAAGAGTCAGGCCTGGCTGTTTCACTCCAGAGCCCAAGCTGTCAGCCAGTTCACCACATTGTTTTCCAGAAAGAGAAAGGAAAATGAAAAGAAAGTTCCTCAGGCAAGTGAGTCATCTCAGGGATTTAATCCTTGGAAACAGCGTCAAGGCTTTCTTTGAGGTCCTAATAAAAATTGAACATAGAATTGCAGTATGATCCAGCAATTCCACTGTTGGGTGTTCATCTGCAGAATATGAAAAGTTATACACATCCCTATGTCCATTGCAGCACTATTCATAAATAGCCAAGATATGGAAACCACCAGAGTACCGAGATGTGGTATAGATAGACAGTGGAATACTACTAAGCTGTAAAAAAGGAAGAGGAAATCTTTCCATTAGTAACATCACAAATGCATCTTAGCAGGATTTGGGTAAGTAAAATAAGTGAGGAGAAAAACAAATACTACCTGACTTCACTCTGTAAAAGATAAAGAAACAAAAAAGGAGAGAGAACAAAGAAAAATCAAAATCCTTAGATGGGAATGGAATAGCAGTTACCAGACAGAAGGGATATGGAAGCAGGTATATAGGTTCTGTTGTTTGGCAGTGGATGCAACTAGACTTTCGGGGTGATCATAATGTGGTATATGCGGATCTTGAAACATAAACTTTACTCCTGAAACTTGGAGAAAAAAAGGGAAGAAAGCAGGCACCAGCCCTTCTGCCGCCTGTGAATATGCAGGTATTTCTCTTTGAAAACCTCCCTTTCAGGGACAGCCCTTCTGCCCACTTGTGTCTGTGCGAGTGTCCTTTATTCTTTTCTCCCTTTTTATAATAAACCTGCCCTTTCGGATTTTTTATTTTTTAAAAAGGAAAGAAAACAAAGGCACAAACAAATTTAAAATAACCTCTTAGATTCTGAGAATAACATGGTGATTACCAAAAGGCAAGAGGTTAAGTGGTGGGCAAATTACATAAAGGGGATCAATGTTATGGCAATGGGTGGCAACTTGCCTTTTGGTGGAGATGATATAGATGTTGAATTAGAATACTGGCCACCTAATATTGTAAACGGTATTACTTCAATAAAAATTAATTTGAGAAAAGGGGAGTGATTGGGGTTATCAGAAGTTCAGGGAGGTACGGCAGAGACCTGGGATCCAGACACCCTGGGGCAGGGGGTGCTGCTGGGCTGCTTCTGTTCCTTAGGAGCTCAGAGGAAGAATTTCCCAGAACTGAATTTCAGTCCTGCGAGAAAGAATGCTGCCAAACTTCTGAGTGGTGCAATGCAACCATCAAAGTATAAAAGAGGCTGAGACTGCTCTTCACGGCTGCTCCTGGGAGGGAGGGCTGTTGCTAGGATAACACCAGAGGAACAGCAATAAACAGAATGAAGTGAGTCCCCCTCCCTCCTCCTGCCTCTGGCTTCCCTTGAGTGCCCCTGTTGGGAGAAACTGACAGGGAAGCAGCCACCAAGGGGAAACAGAACTTGCAGGCTATACATTTTCGCATCGCAAAGCAGATTATGGAATTGTAGTTTTGGAGTTAAGAGACTAGAGCTTAAAAATCAGCATATGCCTGCCCATCCCAAGGCAGTCTACCAACCTAGGTTGCTGTTCTGAAAGTCCTTGAAGGAGATAAAGTAGCAATACTGATAACAGCTAACATCAGCTGAGCACTTGATCTGTATGCAGAGCATGCACGCAACACAGAGTAGTTTATTAATTCTCACAACGCTAGGTGGAGACGCATCATGATTCTCACACTCTTGGCAAGAAACTTAGGTCAGTAATGTTTTCAAGTTGACTCAGAATTCAAGCCTGTTCACTCCTAGCCTGTGTGCTTAGTCATTATACAAGCTAGTCTAGTTCACCTCTTCTAATTAGCCTTTCCAAAATGCCATTGTCCACTAGGTCTAATTTCCCTCCTCCATATTCCCATTATAGGTGGGAATTATAAATGTTAAATAAAGTCAACACTTTATATTCCCATTTATATGTGTTAAATAAAGTTAACACAACCGTGTTCTTCAGGTTCTCTCCCAATTGCTGGACAGCACATGTTTTTGTGGACACCTTAAGTCATTTTTTTGAAACCCTATTCCTTGTCTCCATCTCTGTGTTCAATGTTACATGATCCAACTTTATCTGGACTACAGTCAATGCACATATATGTTTAACTTTGACAATATTCAAGAACCACCATGTCCCATGTTGGAAAGAAACAAATTCAAGTGACCTGGATTCTCTAAATCATCCTGTCTAATGAGTTTCTCTCTGGCTGTTGAAGCACCAAGTTCTCTCAACATAAGACAAGCAAGGACCTTAGGTGAACCGTACTGAAACTCCAGGAGGACAAAGTTATTTTATATACTATATCGTTTCTTTTATGTTTCTTCAAAATCATAGCTTCAAGATCAAAACTAGGTGACGTGAGAGCTGGTGGGCAGTGTCAGCTCTGCAGTGATATGGGCATTGGCTTCATATGCTACAGGAGACCTAACCCAGTATGAAAAGCCTAGGGTGTCGTCATCACTGGTCCTCTGATTAAGCACATATCTAACATAGAAGGTGAGTCAATCTCATGACAGGCAATAAAATGACCATAGGAGAACCAGGCCAATAGATCTTCATGACCCACAACCAATTCATTCAAGGTCACAGAGACCAATACATCATTTAAGACAAGCCATTGACCTCCATGCACCCCAGTCTGACCCTCTGCAACAAAATGCCACTATTATTGATTATTGTTATAGTGAAAACCTAGAAAATCTTGGACTAAGGGTCAGAAACCCTGGGTTCTGGGCTTATTTCCAAACTTGCTTTATGACTTTGGGCAAGACCCTTCCCACTCTGAACTTTCCCACACATAAAGATGGAATCCTCAGACCAGTTCTTATTATTTGGTTTGCTTTGATTTCATCACCATGGGAGATATAACTACAACTGTAAATGCCTCCTCTCCTTGAAAACAGAAAATCTCAGAACTTTGACAAGTTATGCACAAGGCACTGTTGATGATGGGATTATGGAAACTTAGATTTAGAAAGTGAGACAATCTAGGGTCCCAGAGCAGGAATGCTCAGTACGTCAAATCATGGGAGACTTGGAACCTCAAAATGCTCTCTAGACAACTGATCCTATGTTGTTGATTTCACAATCACTTCTTCTTGGCACACGTATCAGACACCAATAATAATGCACTATATTCACCAATCCCTTCTCAAAAATATTCTGAAATTGTAGCGTAATAGGTAAACAATACGAATTTATCCAATACATACTTATTAAGTGCTAACTTGAAAGGACTGATATCAGCCGTCAAATTTTAGCCAGTGCTCAATCAAAAATCTGAGTTTGGGGCGCTGACCATCACCTGACTCTCTTTGGTTATATAATCATTTGCTTGCAAGAGTTTGAATTAAAATAACCACCAGGAATTTGGGACTTTTGCTGGCACCAAGTTAATACCCTCGGCGATTCTAGAATGCTTGTAAATTCCCTATTTCCTTTAATCCTTATCAGTATTCAATTCCACTAACCTTCCAGAAACCCAAGCTAGGTTAATGATGGCAAGTATTTGAAAGTGCTAGTGTATTACCAAGAACACGAAGCTTATACGAGACAAAACAACAAAGATTCCCAAGGCTACAAATTCAAATCTCACCCTGTTCTCCACCATAGTCCCAGAGCGATCATCATTCACTTTTGTATTCAACAAATACCTATTAAGACATGCTTTTATGGAACTTTGATCTTGGAGAACGTAAAAGCAGAAGACGACTATGGAGGTCCTTTCCTTCCTAATCGGTGAATACATCCAGGACATTAACTTACACCTCCCTGATAGATTAAATTCCCCAGGCTTGGTCGTTTGCAGGCAGAAAAAGATTGATACGATACATCCAAAAAATAAAAAAGGCTTCAATTGGCTGTCAGAACTTTAATTAAAACACTTATAGATCAACTTCACTGCAGCAAATTGTCTGTGCCACTATTACTATAGCAAGATGGATGTTCCCTGGGAAAACAGACAGAGAACTCTCCCCTGGACTAATGTGTAATTTCATAGCCATTGATTTTTTACTTTGAAAATTCTTCCCAGGCTTTTGGGAATTGGAACTTGTTCTGGGTGACCTGGCAGCAATGTTACTTTCTTTTTTTCTTTCATGAAAGTGGAGGACCATTTCCTAAGCGCATTCATATTTTATCTTCATTTCCCTGACTCAGAAGCAAACTGAAGTTGCGTGGGGTTGTTGGGAATCTCGAATGGAAGCTTCTGAGACCGAAGGGGAATGTGGGGGTTGAGTAGGGAAAAGGAAAATGTGCAGAGGAAAAAAAACTGGAAGAAGTTTCT